GTCAAATTTCAATTTTAATTGTTAATGCATGGTTTGATACGAGCTTTATATAAGCTTTATATAAGGCGTCTAATCAACATTTATAAGACATCTACAAGACGTCTAATAGATGTGTCTAATAGAAACCATTTCGACGTCTACCGAGATGCAAAAATCAACTTATTTTAGATCTATCGAATAGACGTCAACTAGACATCTATTCGACTTTACGTTTCTCCCTGGGATTGTACCAGATTTCGACCGTCCATACTTGCGAATCGAAACTACTAAAATCCGCTAGATTAGAAAACATATTAAAAGAATGCGATAACCGTGTAATGAAAATCCATAACACTGTTTGGTATCAATTACAATCTGCGAACTCGTGACTTTATACTGCGCCGCGGGAGAAGACCCTTCACATTTTATGTAAAGACGACAAGCCGCGTCAAACACAACTACTTTTAACTGGTTTAGTTAAACTATCCCCGGAATGTGATACCATTTCGGACAATGTTTTATTACATACTAAAACTATAAGCATAATCGACACCATTGACAAAGATTTTATTCCTAACGTTAATCTTAGTACAAACAAACTATGCGAAGATGTCAAGGAAAGTAATGTTAATATTTCAGAGCTTCAATTGTTAAACATTGGTAAAACACCTTACTTAGATATTAATTTGTTAAAGACAGCTAGTTCTAGTTTGGACGAATTATATAAAGAAGCGAATAAGATAGGCAAACATCATCGAACTAAAACCTTATATGAAAAGACCTTGAGTTGGTTTTATTATATATTATATACTATGATAGGATTAGTTATTATGTATATAACGGTAAAATGTTCATTGATTAGTGAGTTCGTTCATATTTTTAAATTATGTTGTATACCTAAAGAAGGCTGCGTTCAGTATTTTAACAACTGTTTCAATAATAATATAACCACTCATAGGCCGGTATTCATAGTCCGTTCTTATATTCAAAATCGTCTTAAGCACGAACTTATATTCGCTCTCTTCGTCAGACACAATCTATGTGTGACGAAGAGAGCGAATATAAGTCCGTGCTTAAGATGATTTTGAATATAAGAACGGACTATGAATACCGCCCGTAGTGCTCATCCGACAGTTACGCAACGCGAAGTTACCTTTATATCGGTACCACGGTGCAAGAATATAAGGTGGTTTCACGACCATTGTATTCTATCAAAAAATCTGTGATCAAGATGTCATAGTTAAGGCATGTCACACAAGATGTCGCGTTGGTGCAAGATCCCAAGTAAAAAAGAATAGAAGATATGGATAGATGTGGATAGAAAAGGATAGATGATGAATCTCTAAAGCACATCTATATATAATTATAGTCCTAAATAATACAAATTTTTTTAAATAAAACTTTTAACATTGTGTATAAAAATATATATTACTGACAAAATATTTTTAATTTTTTATAACAAATTATTCTTAGTTAAATTTGCAGAAAAAATAATTAATAATGTATTCCAGTCTTTATAGAAAATTAAGTTTCTTTAAAAAAATAAATATTTATAATTAAGTTCCGCAGGACAATAAAATTTTAATAAAATTTATATATATATATATATTTTATTTAAAAGGTCCCTCAACACGTAGTCACCTAGCGGTTTAATGTGGAACAATGACAGGAAAATCACAAAAATTTGTTGCCGTGCAACCACCTTATATTCTTACACCGTGGTACCGACCGACAGCGAAGAATCCCTTCGTATCGAAAGAGAGGGACATGGAACAAATAACGAGATCCGACGTTCTCGCTCTTGTAATAATCGATTGTCAAGACTTGAACGCGTGTAAGACAAAACTTGACTATTGTATCGTTTTAAGGAAATTAACATTGCGAATTAATGCCCTTAGTATAAGAACCTATATATGTGTATGTTAGAGTATAAGACTACGTTATACCTCATTGTTAGAACATCGTTGAATATTAATTTTTCTGTTCATTGTAATACTAGATTAAGTTACGCGTTAATTTAGAAATAAGATCTTAAATGTATTTTTCTACTTCGAGAAAAATCTTCATTCCTAAGGGGGGAGATGTTACGTGCCGCAACTTATAGTTTCTTAGATTACTGTTTATTCGAACCTTCGAACCTTTTTTATCTTTACTCCTTCTTGACCCTAAACACATGACCCTTCGATAACTGCAACAAACATGGATTAACCTAAACGCTGTCCCTGTGCCTAACACGTATTTTCTCTTCTATAAAACCTCCTCCTTCCAATAAACATTCCTCCGCTATGATTTTCCTAGCGCACTTCAAACGAAGATCCGTCTCACCAGTTCTCGATCAAAGCTCGAACCAGCAACACTGAATAAAGACTTTTTCCACAAACATGTCCTGACTTATTCTAAATAATCTATTACGTAGCTATACGCTCGTAACACCGCACGAGAATCTCGGGCGATGCGTCGTACGAGGGCTACACCCTTTAAACTTTTATAGCTCGGTCAATGTTACGAATTTCACCTTAATATTTTATGGACACATTTTCAAGACCCCAAACTATAAGAATATGCAAAAACAAAAATCAATTTTTTTGACCTGCCACACTAGAATACCGCCTTAAAATTGCTAAGACGTCTTACGAAATTATCAGAAAGACGTCTTTTTAACGTTTTAAGTCTCAATTTTCAACGTCTTTCAGACTTATCTTAAATTCAATATTTCAATTTTCCTTGCAATTTATATCATATCTGTGATTCAATAATTAAAAATTAAAATAAATAAATATTCAACATGCATGTTTTAAAGACATCTGAAAGACGTCCAAGTCATTTTTTTTCTAGTCGTCCTTTAAATGTTTTTACGACATGCGTGTTGTCTAGGCATATCGCATTTATTATGATGCGATTTTATCTTTATCTTCATATGTCTTTTAAACTACAGTATTTGCCAAATCTTCTTATTTAAAGCTGTCTTTAACATCAGAATTAACTTGAGATATTTGCAGTGTAAAATATCTGCGTAATGCTTTTCAAAAATTATTATGATTAGCGTATTATCTTAACGACTGATATAATAAAAAGAAATATTTCTTCAAGAGGTATATTTTGCAGTCTTGTACAGAATACTGTGATTACCGTATGATCCTTGAGGATCTTTTTCTAAAGCTATATCTTTTAAAATAATCATTATTAACAATTTGTTAATTTCTTTACATTTTTTACTTTTATTAAAAATTTTAAGAATATTTACTTGAACATTATTGCTAATAAAAACATAATCACTGTATTCCATTCACTATTGCATATATTTTAATTGCATTAATGTTGCATTAATTGTTAACAACCATATTTACAATCATACAAATATTTACAACCAGATACTTTATTATTAATATGAGTAATATATTTTTTCTTTTCCAACACTCAATAAAAAAAGTATAAATCTTTCCAACTAAAATATAATCAGCAGTAGTAACTTAAATAAAGTCAATTCCTTACATTTTACTTGCGTTATAAGAACAATTTATATAATGTTTCATGCAGTTAATCCTTATAACTTTGTCACAAAGAAAATAAAATAATATCATGATATTTATTGTATTGTTTTTATTTTCTTAATAAATAATTCAGACGATCTCCCGCATGCCGCAACCATTCTTGGATCACTTTCTGCACCTGATATAGACTGCATTCTTCTGTACTGGTAATATAATCTGAAATAATTACAATATTATGTTTACAATATTATGTTTTACAAATTTTTTATACTTTAATATTAAAAACTGTTATCAAAATATAATGATTAAATCTAACAGTTATTTATATAGATTTGTTTTTAATATTAAAATAAGAAAAATATTGAAATTTATTCAAAGAAAAAGCAACTAAATTTACTGTTAATTATAACATATTTTTTAAACTTATATTTATTATTATACTTTTGTTTTTAATTACCTATAATAATGCTAGCAAATACAGTATTTCTTATAGCCATCGAATCTTTTTGGCCCGTCCACGACATTTGTTTTGATACGTTATCATGGATAAAATATTTCATGATATTTCTGGTCTTATTTTTATACATTTTGCCTCCAACTTTTGCAATTTTATGTTTCTGCAACAAAAAATTAGATACAAAATTGTGATTAATCAATCCAGATAGGATACTGAATTCTATACACACTGAAATGTGATATACCGTGATACACCAAACAAAATTTGGAAAACATTTAAATTTATGCTGTCTACTTGTAATCTGTATTTTAAATCGTATGTTGACTATACTTGAGACTACAGCAATTAAAATAAGCAAATTTACTGGGTAGTTGACCATTAAGAACCCTGCACAGCAGCCTTATCAATTTTTGTCCTGGATTTCCACGCACACAATTGAGAGGTCATGCTCATGTATTGCGCAGAGTGCAAAGCGTACAGTATTTTGACATAAAATACAAAATATCTTGTAAAACATTCAAGGAAATCTTACCTTAATACTTTTATGCACAAAATAATGAGACGAATCAATTGGTATAAAGAACACATAGTTGCTTTTAAAAAAAAGTAAGCAGCTGCATGTTGCAAATAACATATTTTTTCTTAAAAGCAACTATGTGTTTTCTTTATACCAATTGATTCGTCTCATTATTTTGTGCATAAGAGTATTAAGGTAAGATTCCCGAAAACTAAATGTTTTACAAGATATTTTGTATTTTATGTCAAAATACTGTAACTTTCAAGCCTCATAACTCGAAAAATACTTAATGAAAAATAACTTTATTATAGTGTTTTGAAAAGCTCTTGATACTAGCTATTAGATTCTGGAATCAAAAATAGGGTGTTCTATTTAAAAAACCAAAGTTGACCTCCATATGACCTTGGCACGTACACCCTAGGTTAAGCCAATGCCATCATCGGATATCTCCCTCCAAATCCAACAACTTTTGTAGAGAATTTTTTTATCTGATCATTTTCTGCGAAGTTTGTAACAGCATGCGCCTGTTACTAAGCGTCACGCGGGCTCCACGTGAGCACCCCCATTTCGGGCCGCATTCCGATCCCCCAACTCGGGGGTAAAAGCTCAAGAAGGGGTAGCTGCCGGGTAGGGTAGCACCTCAAGTGGGGGTAGCGCGACCGGTATAAAAGCCGGCTCGCGGAACAGATCGAGACCATTCCCCCGAGTACGACTCGGACAAGCCTCAGGGCGCACTCTGAAGCTCCGGTCGTACTCGCTCCCATCCCGATAGTCGTTCTAGGAGCAGGGCGTTCTCTGCTTCGGTCGGGTGTTCCCGGCGTCGACTTCCTATACCTCGTCGTTCTAGGGGCAGGGCGTTCTCTGCCTCGGTCGGGTGTTCCCGGCGTTCGACTTCCGATATCCCTTGCACGAGAGAAGTCTCCCACCGCCGTTGCGCTCAAAGCGAGTCCGGCACCGCCGAAATCTGACGCCACCCGAACTACGACGGTGACAAGGAGGCCACCGACAATGACGGGCACAGCTGCCGCCGTCGCTCCTACCGGGAGTCCGGCACCGCCACTACCGGGTGCGCCTTGACGACGGGACAGTGGTGAGCGTCCCGTACCACGCCGCTCATTGCTCCCGAAAGTACCGGGCTTCTACGCCAACGGGCCGGTGGCTGATCCGGTTCGATCACGCCGGTCAGCCCCGGTCCACGCGCCGACTAGAAGACACCGCCGCGAAAACAACAGAAGAATAATTTAATTTTTTTTTTGTTTTATTCCCACCGCTGTTAATTAGATTTAAAAGTTGTTGCGTTCACTATTTATAATTCAAAGTTTTTTTTTAGTATTTAAGCGTTCATTAAATTTAGAATTAATCGTTTATCGTTCGAGAGTTAAGTACCGCGCCGTTCCGCATAGTATAAGAGTTTTATAAATTTTCACACCGTTTTCGTAATTTTAAGATTTACGCGTCATTAACCGCGTAATACGTTTTTATTTTTGTATCGACAAACATACCGAAATGCAATGTTTACTATTCGGATCCAAAAGCTATGTTTATTTTTTTTTTGGGGGGGAGGGAAGTGGTGTAACAGCACGCGCTGTTACTAAGCGTCACGCGGGTTCCACGTGAGCACCCCCATTTCGGGCCGCATTCCGATCCCCCAACTCGGGG